CCAAAATTAAATAGAAACAATACCAATGTTATATAGAAACAATACCAACATTATATAGAAACAATACCAACATTATATAGACACAATACGAACATTAAATAGAAACAATACCAACATTAAATAGAAACAATACCAACATTATATAGAAACAATACCAACATTATATAGACACAATACGAACATTATATAGATAACAATACTAACTTTATATAGAAACAATACCAACATTATATAGAAACAATACCAACATTATATAGAAACAATACCAACATTAAATAGAAACAATACCAACATTATATAGAAACAATACCAACATTATATAGACACAATACGAACATTATATAGAAACAATACCAACATTATATAGAAACAATACTAACATTAAATAGAAACAATACCAACATTATATAGAAACAATACCAACATTATATAGAAACAATACCAACATTATATAGAAACAATACCAACATTAAATAGAAACAATACCAACATTATATAGAAACAATACTAACATTAAATAGAAACAATACCAACATTATATAGAAACAATACCAACATTATATAGAAACAATACCAACATTATATAGAAACAATATCAACATTATATAGAACCGATTCGCCAGTTTTTGAAATTCTTCTTTCCACCCGTTTTTAACAGAAAATTACGAAACTTTTTACAGAGCATACGTATACGTAGGGTTGCCGTATTTTGCTGATTTGATCCGTACAGTTTGTAAATATTATCAAATAAAATACTCTTAACGTTTTCCTTCGGATATCACACTATTCTTCGAAAATGGTGAATAGACCCAGAGTTATATACACGGAACTTGAAGAAACTAGATAAATATAGTTTTAAGTTCTGTCACTAGAGATGCTGCTATAAATATAGCCTCGACTGAGGGGTAATTTGCGATATGCTCAGTTGCTTTTATTAAAAGAAACACTAAGTTTTGAAATATTGAATAAATTACAAAAATATATAAACGATGCAAGTACACAATTTCAAAACACTTAAAAAATTAACAGTATAGTACAAACGTACCATTGTTACATACAGTGAAGAGTTGCTAAGAGACGTGTAGGGGCCCGGCATGGCCAGGAGGTTAAGGCACTCGACTCGCAATCTGAGGGTCGCGGGTTTGAATCCCCGTCACACCAAAGATGCTCGCCCTTTCAGCCGTGGGGGCGTTATAATGTGACGGTCAATCCCACTGAAATACTGGGTGTAGTTATATAGAAATACTGGGTGTAGTTATATAGAAATATTGGGTGTAGTTATATAGAAATACTGGGTGTAGTTATATAGAAATACTGGGTGTAGTTATATAGAAATACTGGGTGTAGTTATATAGAAATATTGGGTGTAGTTATATAGAAATACTGGGTGTACTTATATAGAAATATTGGGTGTAGTTATATAGAAATACTGGGTGTAGTTATATAGAAATACTGGGTGTAGTTATATAGAAATATTGGGTGTACTTATATAGAAATATTGGGTGTAGTTATATAGAAATACTGGGTGTAGTTATATAGAAATATTGGATGTAGTTATATAGAAATACTGGGTGTACTTATATTCAAATACTGGATGTAGTTATATAGAAATATTGGGTGTAGTTATACAGAAATATTTGCCACCACAGAACAAGATATTCGTTTCGTTTCGTCTGTTTTGTAGTACTATCCAGTGAGGTCAACTTGTATCTTCCAAGCATTTGGCATAATTCTTGAAATTTACACGCAGCTATATACTACGTGCTCTACGGCAGTAATCGTTGTAAACAAGATATCATTTATATTTAAGGCTCATTGCTTTCACATTTATTTATAAGACCATAAATCTTATGTCGAAAGTATTGGGACAACGTTAATGTTCTTATTCGGTGGTCTAATTACGATACATAAACTTGTGGTTCAGGCTAAACAAAATATTAATTTTACGCTATTTTTGAAATTCAAAAGTTCTTTACCTTCACGTCTCTTGTTTGTTTGTTTTTCGAATTTCGCGCAAAGCTACACGAGGGTTATCTGCGCTAGCCGTCCCTAATTTAGCAGTGTAAGACTAGAGGGAAGGCAGCTAGTCATCACCACCCACCACCAACTCTTGGGCTACTCTTTTACCAACGATTGTGTACTTATATAGAAATACTGGGTGTAGTTATATATACAACTTATGTATTAAAACGTGCTTCTATAAATTCAATACATTATGTTGTGTGTATGCAGTATTTGTAGTTAAAATGGCTTAAGATTCAATTTCATTTCAATTTCATTCTGGCATGCCCCAGACCCCCTAGAAATGGCACTCCAAAATTGCTGTCTACGGCAATGATACCGTATTATATAGCAGTTTAATTCGTAATCTCTGATTTGGTCAAGGGTAGATGAGAAAATATACGTTTTAGAAAGATTCGCTGGAGTAACCATTGTATTAAAGTCTACGACTGATCTGTGGATACTTTCAGTATTTTCTTCAGCTTCATTGACGCTATATTATCTCCCCTACGTGCACGCTAGAATCATGCATCGCCACATTATAACTACAATAACTGAAACTTAAATCATATGAAAGTTAATAAGACACGAGCTCACCAGGCCACGTGATAAATTTGAAGGCTAAGGACAAAACAATCTCACTAAACTAACTCTTCTAGCTCTGCTTTTTAACAGCTAGGATCATGGGGGTCCGGGAGTTAGGATACTTGCCACCCTGAGAAATGAGAAACATATTTCTTTCTTTATTCACTCAGTACATATATATATATACAAGAGGATACTTGCCACCCTGGGAAATGAGAAACATATTTCTTTCTTTATTCACTCAGATATATATATACAAGATGATACTTGCCACCCTGGGAAATGAGAAACATATTTCTTTCTTTATTCATTTAGTACATATATAAACAAGAGGATACTTGCCACCCTGGGAAATGAGAAACATATTTCTTTCTTTATTCATTTAGTACATATATAAACAAGAGGATACTTGCCACCCTGGGAAATGAGAAACATATTTCTTTCTTTATTCATTCAGTATATATATATATATATGCGAGAAATTTCTGTGAACGCTCATGCATATACAACTTTTAGCCAACTTGGATCAATCTGACTTATTTTTGCATATTTTTTTATCTCTAATATCTCAGTCTGTGAATTAGTGAACTGACTTGTAAAAACCATTGATAAAAAATTCAAAGACATCATTCTACTTTGTAAAAACAGATCTTCACAGACATGTTACAAAATATATGTTAAATAATGAAGATACAACTTCTTCCTCTAAGTATAACTGACATGTTGCTCAACTTTAAATTTTGTTAAGATAGCTGTAAAAAAAATAATCTAAATCATAATTTACTTTATTTTAATTTAAGGTTTAGAAAACTAAACAAACATTTCATTGATGTATCAATTTTTTCCCTCCACAAACTTATACAGCTACTTCTAGGCCTAAAAACAGTACAAATAACAATCTTTTGTTGTAACAAGGCCTAAAAACAGTACAAACAACAATCTTTTGTTGCAACAAGTAAAGATTTATTTGAAAGACAAAAAAAGGGATGTTGTTGTTTTTTTAAATGATTTTTGAACAAATAGATTCAAAAAATCAATTAACACAAAAAATACAAAACCATATAATTCAAGCACTCTTGGAATGATAGATTTTTCTTCTCATCAGTTTGCCCCTTTGAAAAATGCTTGGGTTATAGATTTAACTAAGGAAATTAAAAGGGCAGAACCCCATTGATAAAATAGGGCACTTTTCAAGCATTGTAAGTCAAGACACTTTTTTTGGAGGGCAAGAGGGAGAGGTTGTGTTAGGAGAGACTATGGAGACTGTAGGTTGCCTCTGGTACACATAGGGTAAAGAACAATAAGAAACAAAGGGACCCTTATAAAGATCTAAAACTAAACAGGGAATTCTTGCACATTATTACTTAATAGCATATCATAACTATTTTGTTACTGTAAAGAACAACAAATCCTTGGATACTTTTAATTTTAAAGCTGATATCTTATTTCCCCCTAATAATTCACAGCAAGCAAGGTGTGAAATAAGGCATCTTTTAATAGTCATGAACAATTTATATGACTGAGAAAAGGGGCACTTTTGTGGCATAAGAGCAGAAGGCCAGGGGCTTTAGCCCACCCACTGTGCACATTACTGCCTAAACATTTTGGTGAAACTTTAACTGAAAGGAAATATAATAAACAAATGTAAATCTAACAGCACAAAGCAAATTATAGCTGTGCAGGGTTCATTCTGCAGCTTGTAAATCCATGGACAGCTGAGGTGGATCATTTCTTTGTTCGGAATATAACTAAACCAAACTGCAACTTTTAAAAACATAGAATGATAAGAAGAATCCTCCTATGTTCTCTTGAGTTGTTTGCTCACCTTGCTTTGCTCACTGTTCGACCAGCAAGAGACGAATGATCACCGATGGCTTTTGCCAAACCGTCCTGTGGAGGTTTCGTATGGTCGTACTGTGTTGGACTTGGTGTGCAAGGCTTAGCAAGGAGACCTATGGAATTACCATGTGCTCTATCTGGCTGCTTTCTTCTTACTGAAGACCACATGTTACCAAAGAATGGATGGTTTCTCTGAAAGAGTTAAATGTTCGGCTAGAATTCATTTTAACATCCTTTAACATTTCCCAAGATAATTCATCCCAGGATTAATTTGTCATCCAAGAGTTCGGACATATACCGTTGTCAAAATGAAAACAAAAAAATACATTCAATGACGAGGAACCAACTTTGAGACTAATAATGGCTGGAGACGGCTTGAATGGGTAATGAAGAAAAACTTTAATATAAGTTTAACATAACAGCAAATGTACAACGTTTCGACAAAACCTTAAAGCCATCTCCAGCCATTATTAAAAAAATACATTTATTGTGGAAATGACAAGTTAATTAATGAACAAGAAACTTAAAATTTAGAGTTTCTTGAATTGTAAAGTTACATGTATACTTTTTTTTTTTCATCCAACAGGTTTTTTCATTGTAATGAACTGATGAATATATATTTGATTCAATAAATATGAGACATTTCGTTATGTATATGTAGATGATATATGCAGATATTTAAATAAAAAATTTAAGTTACAAAAATATTTGATGATAGTTTGCCATATACATATTTCACACAGTTCTATCTTTTACAGAAGGGATGACAGATTCAAAGTTGGAAAAGATTCTGGGCTTCAAATTCAATAACAAAAAGAAATATAATATGAACTCAATTCTAAAATGTCAACAAACAAAAAAACAAGAGATATTTACGATAACGGCTGAATTTACAGTGGCAACCGATTTCTTTCAATCTTCTTACCCTATGTAAAGGCTCTGAATCCCAAGTATTTCCAAACTCATCTGTGTCCAAATTTCCAGAGATAGCTCGTCGGATCTCAGGACCCATTTCGTGGAGAGTACGTAAGCCAGCCTATTAAAGATTAACACTTTTTTTCAATTGCTTCTACTATATCGTTAATAAAATATTTAACAAGTGCAAAAGTAGAAATGTAAGTGTTTACTGTGAGAACAATGAATGAATAATTCATTGACTTTATGCTACAAGTAAACTTTTTCCAGCAGAAATATTCTAAATATCTATACTTTTTGATAAGACTGAGAAGACATACCGTTAAAGCTACAGCATTATCGGCACCTCCAAGAGCCCTTTCTTCCTTTCTTTTCTTGAATCGTCTGAAGTAGTCCTGGATCAAGAATGTTGCATAAAACTTGCCCACTGTAACATCATCTTCCGCTGAATGTAGCAAAGAGTGATAACACAAATTACTGATGTGATCATTTCAGTTATTACTTTGTTTGAGATACATATCTATACATCGTGTAGCTTTGTGCGAAATTCAAAACAAACATTATTCATAAAGTAATCCTACATGAATTATGTGTCGATGCATAAATTTGTTTATTGATTCTTTTCATGTATTTTGTATGGGATATATATATATATATGAAATGATCACATTATTACTTTTTTTGAGATACATATCTACACGTGAAATTATCACATCAGAAACTTGCGGGCTATCTGCGCTAGCCATCCCTAATTTAGCAATGTAAGACTAGAGGGAAGGTAGCTAGTCATCACCACCCACCGCCAACTCTTGGGCTACTTTTTTACCAACGCATAGTGGGATTGACCGTTACATTATAATGCCCCCATGGCTGAAAGGACGAGCATGTTTGGTGGGACGGGAAAATCGAACCTGCGACCCTTAGATTGCGAGTCGAGATCCCTAACCACCTGGCCATGCTGGGCGCATGAATAATGGTCTAATTATAATGCACAAAATACTTTATTATAAACAGAATGTGTCAAGTCACTCATATTTTTCCACTTATACGACTCGTTTGATTTATCAGAAAATTGTATTGTTACCAAGTTAAAGAAATTATATGACAATAGATAATAAGATAAAACAGATACACACAAATAATTATTACAGACCTCCAGCAGGTGGCACAACTTGGTCCAAAAGTTTTGGACTAGTTCTTTTCCAGATTTTTTTTATAACTGCACGCAGTTCCTCGTTTGCTTCGTCAATGTTTCCTACAACAAGAAATAAACGAAAACATTCATTCTGAATTTTAACCTGACAGTCTTGTATGAAAGCAAGTAATTGAAGGCAGTTTTATCTCATATAATTTCAGAATTTTAAAATTTAATTTTGTTGTAAAAATTTTCAACACAAGTAAGAATGTTCTTTTATCTCATTTACTAAATTTCAAACTAAATGTAAAAATACAATACTTTATTGATCAAATATTCAAAATCTTTTCTAATTATACCAATTGTCATCATCCCAGCCAGGCAGACGATGATGAATATTATCTAAAGTTTTATATGGCTTAGGTGTGGGATGTACAGTTTTACCTTCTGTTTTGATACGTAAAGATGTTCGAACAACTGCAAATAAGGTAGCATTAAACATGACGCTTCCGTCAGTATTCAAGGGCATATTCATTGATACAAGCCTCTGGAATTCAAGATAAACAAACATGCATGTCAAGATCCATTGCAGCAAACTTCAGCACTGATTGCATAATTGATAAATTTATTAAGTAATGTATTTTATAATTATTATACATTAATTATAATTACACACTTACTTTAAACTATAGACTTGTGTAGAACCACAATCTTTATTTTAGTGTTGAACATAGTTGTATAAATATATGTGAATACATTGCTACTGTCATGTTATTTACTCAGTTTTACTTCAAATTTGGATGAAAAAATACAATACTAGTGTTTAAACAGCTATCTGAAATTTTGGCCAGAATTCTTGAAATAAAAAATCCAGATGTGTCTTTTCTTCAAAAAGTTTGTACATTATACAATTTTTTAAACTATTAATTAATTTCTTGGTTGATAAAAAAACTAACAATTAAACAACCTTAAATAAAATATCATGTAACAAGAATACCGAGTATAAAATAACATTTTAAGTTGGTATATTGTTTGTCATACACTGTGTTTTGAGTAATATATTCATATACCTTATACTCATTTTATATTAAATACATACTAACAAAAACAAACATTATTTTTAAAATCTAAAACACTACTTCTTACATGGTATCCTAACAATTTTATTATTTCTACGAATATACAAAAAGTTTGTTTTCGACTCACTTTACAAGCTACTCGGTGAGGACAGAGTTTACCAAATCCTAGCGGTGGTGAAATCTTCCGTAACAAAGTTACTACATCAAGATGTTTGATCCGTCCTCTGAAACAGTTTAGGAAGTTATTTTCAATATTTAATGCCATAAACAAGTAAATAAAGTTTGTTGTTTGATGTGGAAACAACTTTCAAATGTATATTCTGTTTTGTAAAACCTTTTTGTTTCCATTGTTTTGTGTTATTATATATATATATTTAAAGATATTGATTGCTTTGATAAAAAGTCATAGGATTGATAAATTACATTGAAATTCTACATGAAATGACATCCACATTTACCCAGACAGTACAGGTTGACATACAAATCATCAGTCCCAAAAACTTATACAACAAGTCTTTAAAATCCAACTTCCATCACTATAGTTTACAACATATTCATATCACTAATATCACTCATAACTTTGAACAGAACACATTATATATATATCCATCCGAATATATCTAAAGCTAAAACATACCTAGACTTTTAAATGTCAATATTTTATTATGCAGTGTACTAGTTCATAAGATACCTGGGAAAACCAAAAACCTGATTATCCTGAGAAGAAAACCTAACTTTGAAAATGTTTGATTTATATTAACACAGTTTCTTGTTTTGGAACATATCTACGTTTTTCTTGTGATTTATTAGTATTGTAGAAAAAATGTCACACATCCCACTCTTCCATATTATACATTTCCCATTTACAAACAGCTTTGATTTTTCTAATTTCTACATTGGAACATGTAAAATACAGTCAAGGTTATGTGTTAAGTTTTGCCCTAAGTGCTACTTGATATATATGTTTCTGCAACAATATTTAAGTTTATTTATTAATATCTGATCTGTTTCTGTAACTATGTTTAAGTGTATCAGATATTGATATATATATACTTAACACAGCTATGGAAACATATCAGATGTTGATGTCGAATCTTAATTATGGCTATATAAACATATCAAATGTTGATGTAGAAACTTAAACACAGTTACAGAAACATTTCAGATGTTCATTTAGCTACTTGAATACTGCTTTTGAAATATATAAGATGTTAATGTAGCTACTTAACCATAGCTACAGATGTTTATGTAGATAAACAAACACGACAATATAAGTGTCTCAGACCTTAACGTAGCTAAACAAAGATGGCTATAGAAATTCCTCATATGTTGATATAGATAAACAAAGATGGTTACAGAAATGTCATACTTGGCATCTGGATCATATTCAGACCACAGTCGCACAAACTCCTCCAAGTGATGAGGGCCTAAAATGGACCAGTCTCGTGTGAGGTAATCAAAGTTATCCATAATGACTGCCACGAAGAGGTTAATAACCTATTAAATGTCAGAAAAACCAAATTCATCATTATGAACAATAATTCATCCAAAACTTACTTTGCACTTATCTTAGCCACAATCCTTTCAATCTATTGAAAAAAAAAGGATATTTTGATGACTATGGTTTCTATCATTGATCTGGTGTCTAACTATAATTTTAGAAACAAAAGTATTTAAAACTAATAAAAAGTTGAATATCTTTTCATTATCCTCCTTTAGAAAACAGAAACAAATGATAAAAGGTTTCAGCCCCAAACAGTCACAATCTTAAATACAGTCATACAGTCTATTGCACTTGATTACAGCACAGCTTCTAATCATTATACAGTAACTGCGGGTTATACTGAACAGCTTTTTGTCACAGATAATAAGGTACGAGCCATTTCTAACACTAAAATTCATTATTGCTCCTCAGAATGTCACAGACAATTTTCTTCTTTGTATAACAACATTTAGAAATTATAAATGTGCTTTGGAATTAATTCCTACTGTTACGACAGAGGGGTCACGTGATGAGTATTCTAAAAGATTCACTAGTGTGTTGCGACAGCGGGAGTCAATTGACGCTGGTAGCACGTGTTGAAAGTCTTAGAAGTTTCTAGAACAGGCAGTATTATAGTATATAAGTGCGCTAGACAGTGAGAGAGTGGAGTGGAGACAGAGATGTAGCGGAGATGAAGCAGGCAGAGAGAAAGAAAGACAGTGATTACGGTCAGCGGGAACTGAGGATAGCAGGCACAGAGATCGGAACTATAGTTGGCGAGGACGAACAATTAAGTCTAAGCGCGATAGAAAGTGAGTGAATTGTTGTGAACTATAGTGTGTGTAACTGTGAAAATTAAGTACATTACAAAGTTGTATTACAAGTTTTGTAAAGAAAGGACTTGTATCTTCGAAGAATTAACAAACAAACATACAGAGACGTAACACTACCTTTGCTAACTTTATAACAGATCAATATTTTAAAATGTTACTAAAATTATTTTCTTTTTTCTATTTATTATGATTGAACTGAAGTATTCATCATACCAATGATTGTGTACATAATATTAATATACTTAAACTCTATTCGTTTGTCATTTAATACTAAATATTCTACTGGTAACTTAAGTGT